TGTGTGTGTGTACGTGTGTGTGTACCTGTGTGTGTGTACCTGTGTGTGTGTACCTGTGTGTGTGTGTACCTGTGTGTGTGTACCTGTGTGTGTGTGTACCTGTGTGTGTACCTGTGTGTGTGTGTACTTGTGTGTGTGTACCTGTGTGTGTGCGGGGGGGAGCGGTGGTGTAGTGGTTAGCGCTACGCTGCGCTCCGAACCTGACGACCCGGGTTCGATTCCCGCTCACGGCCAGCACCAGTGACGAATATCTGAACCGGTCCTGGGCCTCCCCTAGGTCTACTCAGCCTAAAACTAGTACCTGGTTCGATGTGTAAGCATCGTCACTAGGGAGACAAAGGCGGCACGGACGCGGTATTGCCGGCTAACAGCACTTTCTCAAAAAGCCTGTTAAGGCTATACGGCGGATCTTTGTCTTGTGTATGTATCTATATATGTAAGTGTATCGGGAGCGGTAGCGTTGTGGATATTCCGCTGTGACACGAACCGGGCGAAGCGAGTTCGTTTCCAGCTCACGGAAAACCAACACCAGTGACGATTATCCGAACCGGGGCCTCAACTTTGGCACTCGCCCCAACGGCATGGCCGTGACTATACGGGTCGATCTTTGCCTCTGTGCGTGTGGCCAATGTCGTGACTATACGGGTCGATCTTTGTCTCTGTGCGTGTGGCCAATGTCGTGACTATACGGGTCGATCTTTGCCTCTGTGCGTGTGGCCAATGTCGTGACTATACGGGTCGATCTTTGTCTCTGTGCGTGTGGCCAATGTCGTGACTATACGGGTCGATCTTTGCCTCTGTGCGTGTGGCCAATGTCGTGACTATACGGGTCGATCTTTGTCTCTGTGTGTGTGGCCAATGTCGTGACTATACGGGTCGATCTTTGCCTCTGTGCGTGTGGCCAATGCGTCACTATACGGGTCGATCTTTGTCTCTGTGTGTGTGGCCAATGTCGTGACTATACGGGTCGATCTTTGCCTCTGTGCGTGTGGCCAATGCGTCACTATACGGGTTGATCTTTGTCTCTGCGTGTGTGGCCAATGTCGTGACTATACGGGTTGATCTTTGTCTCTGTGCGTGTGGCCAATGTCGTGACTATACGGGTCGATCTTTGTCTCTGTGCGTGTGGCCAATGCCGTGACTATACGGGTCGATCTTTGTCTCTGCGTGTGTGGCCAATGTCGTGACTATACGGGTTGATCTTTGTTTCTGTGCGTGTGGCCAATGTCGTGACTATACGGGTCGATCTTTGCCTCTGTGCGTGTGGCCAATGTCGTGACTATACGGGTCGATCTTTGTCTCTGTGCGTGTGGCCAATGTCGTGACTATACGGGTCGATCTTTGCCTCTGTGCGTGTGGCCAATGTCGTGACTATACGGGTCGATCTTTGTCTCTGTGTGTGTGGCCAATGTCGTGACTATACGGGTCGATCTTTGCCTCTGTGCGTGTGGCCAATGCGTCACTATACGGGTTGATCTTTGTCTCTGCGTGTGTGGCCAATGTCGTGACTATACGGGTTGATCTTTGTCTCTGTGCGTGTGGCCAATGTCGTGACTATACGGGTCGATCTTTGTCTCTGTGCGTGTGGCCAATGCCGTGACTATACGGGTCGATCTTTGTCTCTGCGTGTGTGGCCAATGTCGTGACTATACGGGTTGATCTTTGTCTCTGTGCGTGTGGCCAATGTCGTGACTATACGGGTCGATCTTTGTCTCTGCGTGTGTGGCCAATGTCGTAACTATACGGGTTGATCTTTGTCTCTGTGCGTGTGGCCAATGTCGTGACTATACGGGTTGATCTTTGTATCTGTGTGTGTGGCCAATGCCGTGACTATACGGGTTGATCTTTGTCTCTGTGTGCGTGGCGAATGTCGAGGTCTGCCGGCCACGACGAGAGTGCTACAGCAGAGAGAGAGAGAGCAGAGAGAGAAAGAGTACGTGTCGTTTATGTTTTCGCTGTTCCTACTCCTCCGTCGACGTGGTTCACGCTATGTTTTGGTTGGTAGCGCAATCTTCGCGTCACCTTTACCATCACAACGAATCAGTCACCCCCTCCCTCTCCCAGTCACCCAGGCGAAATGCGCCGTCGTTAATTCGATGAGTGTCGAAATTAACCAATTTAGGTATTTTTTTGCCAAATGCAGTATCAACGAAAACCACAATGGCCGTCATAAAACCTGGGGCTGGACAACCCAAAGCAAAAATAAGAGACTTTTATCTTTTCGAATTTGGTAAAAAAAAAAACCTCAACTTACGAGACGGTGACGGTGACGAAGCGGATCCTTAAAAAATCAACCCGTTAAAATAAAGTTTTTCACTATGAATCCTTTATATGCGTGGCATCGGTTTTATTTTATTATTCATTTCTGTTTTTCTTGAGTAAGAGTTTCATTTTTATCACGTTGGTATTTTAAATTAAATATGAAAGGTTTTTTTCCCTAAAAAGTGGAAAATTTTGGAAAAAAATTTTCACGAACATTCATTGTCACGCACAACGAGTCTGTGTGCAAAATGTCAGCTCGATTGGATCACAGGGAGTGGGTTAAAAAACGACCGAAAGATTTGCACGGTCCTAAGCAAGCAAGCGAACTTAATATAAAGGATTTAAAAAGAGTCGCGATGCTACTCCGCAAAGGCAGGTTTGACGAGCCCTGCCAGAGATCAACGACAATTTGAGTTGTTCGAGTTATAAATATGCGTGTAAGTATTTGTTACTTTAAATATGAGAATGCGTGGAGTCGATCAACTTTACAGGTGACAATGAGGGCCCTTTTTACAACGCCAGTTTAAATCGTTCGTTCTGATGGACACTTGAAGACACAATCCGCAGCGCTGTGATTGTGACCACGCAACCCAAACTGTGGACCCAAATAGAGAACCCATGAAGAAAAAGTTCCCCCTATAGAGCCTGAACAGACTGTTGGGGCAAGTGCTGTTAGCGAACCCCTATGAAGGTCGGCACGGCACACGAGGGGTGGGTGGCGAGCAGCACGCCCGGCCGCCTTTGTCTCCCCACACACCGCACCAGGTGCTCATTTGAGGCTGAATCGAGGTATGGGAGGCCCTGGACCGGTTCCGATAATCGCCACTGGTGGTGGTCGTGAGCGGGGATCTAACTCGGGCGGCCAGGTACGTAGCGCAGCGTAGCGCTAACCGCTACACTAACCGCTCCCCCACCCATAGACACCCATGGACATGCGCAGAGACTCATAGAGATACATAGCCCACTCGTAGAGCCGCGTCGAGACTTTAACGGATTTACGAGCGATGCATTAAGGACACAAGGCAGAGGCGTTGCGTTTGTGGCCATGCCACCCAAACTATGGACCCGAAAAGTGAAGCAATGCGGTCTGCGCCCCTTCAACAGAGGAGGAGGAACATCAACACGACACGAACTCTCTCTCTCTATCTCTGCTGAAGCCCTCTCGTCGTGGCTTGGCAGACAGACCTCTACATTGAGGCTCCTGGGACATCTTGCTGCTCGTTTTGCTGCTGCTGCTGCTGCTGCTACCATCGTGGGCAAGAATATAATTATCGTTTACCTGTTCGGATTGAATTTGAACCTCACCGTTATGCGCATCCTCCGATGGACATTTTGGCCGGGTATATTTTGGTGGATGATTGCGACTGAGGACTGCGTTTCTCATTCTCCGCACTGTTCGACGCGGGCGCCTGCGTCTCTCTTGCGAATGGACACTCGTCAAGAAGAGACAAAACGACCCTCAGCTCGATCTAACGCAATAGCATCTATACCATATATATACACACATATTACAATAAGCGCTTATGCGTGTTGAGTGTGTTTGACCGGTACAATTAACGTCATTCATTGTGAGTCCATTGGGACCGTATTTGGCAAAAAAATATTAATAATTAGGATAAAAATATCCCGCTTCTGTTACGAGGATTTGTTTGTATACAATGAGCGCATTGACCCTCTGAGCTCCCATACGAGTATACATTAAGATGTATATGCCATGTAACACGTGTTATTTAACGAAGTCGTGTGTATAATTGTGTGCGTACACACGTACGTGCATGCGTATGTATCTTGCAATGCACACTGTTACATTGTACCGCCACTTGATTTAAAAAAAAGTTATTTTTGGCGCTTTTTTGTTCGTGGCGCATAATCACGACTTTTAGCACCGAATCGCAGCACGTGATAATGGAAAATGGACATTCCCCGAAACGTCGCATTTTAAATGTGTTATTTTTTCATTCCTTGAAGGGCCACAATGTTATTGGTGAGCGTATAGAGTTTATTTTTTATTTTAAAGATTTTTTTTCACACATTTCACGAATGCGCGCTCTTGTGTAATGGTAATTTATGACAAGTGTGCCTGTCGGCAATTCCAATCGAGTACAACGCGTGCCTCTATTCACATCACAATACGGTGTGTACATCTATTATACGTGTGTGTACCACGCGGCGCCTCGCTGGAGCCCCGTTTCAATTAGGAGCCGAAACCCGTCGCATAAACAACTCCTATCTGTATGTGTGTGTGCGGACGCCCGTGTGTGTACATGTGTGTGTGTGTACATGTGTGTGTACATGTATGTAAGCGTGTGTGTGCGTGCGTGTACATGTATGTAAGCGTGTGTGTGTGTGTGCGGACGCGCGGCATGTGTGTATGCGCGCGTGTGCGCGTGCGTGCGCGCGTGCGCGTATCGCAGCCTCGCTCCGCGCGGCCCATAAAAGAGCACAGAGGCTTGGCACGAGCAAGCTGCGGTCGTAGCTCGGCGCGAGAGAGAGAGAGGGGGGGGGCGGAGGGTGTCGCCGCTGAGTGCTGCGTCCAGGGAGCGAGCGGGCAGAACGGAGCGCGTTCCCTTGCCGAGTCTTCATCATCATCATCATCACCACCGTCCCCCGTGTCCACCACGCCCGCCAAACCCCCCGGTGGGTTTCCCCATCGATGAGCGACGATTTCTGCAATTGGTCACGTGACCCACGGGGGGGGGTGGTGGTGGTGGAGGTGGTGGAGGGGGGGGCCTGAAACCACGGGGCCCGCTCGAGGTAAATCGCTCGTGTGTTTCCGTCTCATTTCCCCACCACGTCCACCACCACCACACTGCCTCCTCCTACTCTAAACACCTCCCCCTCCCTTCCTCCTCCCGCTCCACCTTATCATCCTCCTCCTCCTCATCCGCCGCGGACGCCACCGTCACCACCACCGCCTCCTCCTCCTCCTCCCTCCTCCTCCTTACGCACCGCGATTGCGCCCTTAGGCAGCGTGACGCGACGGGAAGGCTTCTCGCAACTCAAAATGTCCCACGCATCACCATGTTCGGCCCCGTGAGCACCGCAGCCGCCGCCGCGTTCGCGCAGAGGAGGGCGGTGGAGAGCGGAGGAGGAAGAGGTGGCGGTGAAGGAGGAGGAGGGGGAGACGGCGGCGGAATGGAGTGCGAGGAGCGCGGAGCATACCCAGGCTCTGGCCTCTTCCTCCCGAGCTGCCGTGCCTACTACGACCTGGGCGCAGTCCCCTCGTTCCTCCAGCCGCCGGGTGGGCGCCCGGTCCCTTGCCCCTACTCCGCGGTGCCGCAGGCGCGGGACGCGGCCGCCTTCAGGGAGTACGGCCTGCACGAGACGGCTCGACAGTGGCAGCAGCATCATCATCACCAGCAGCAGCAGCATCAGCAGCAGCAGATTCATCATCATCAACAGCAGCAGCAGCAGCGTCGATACGTGAGCGATGAATTCGTGTTGCAGCAGCAGTTGCTACAGCATCAGCAGCAGCCACCTCCCGGTCCGCATTCTGCGCACAGCAGCAGCAGCAACAGCAGCAGCAGCATCGAGGCGGCGTACGGGACTCATGGCGGAGGAGCCGTGTCGCTGGCCCCGAACTGCAGCCCGTCTGCCGGTGGGATTTTCGGCGCAGCAGCCGCCGCCGCCGCCGCCGCGCTGCAGATCGGGAGGAACGGAATCCTCCCGCAAGGGTTCGACCGCTTCTTCGAGTCCACGTACATCGGCAGCGGAGGCAGCAATAGCAGCAGCAGCAGTAGCAGCAGCAGCGGCGGCGATGACCCCAACAACAAAGCCGAGGCTGCTACGAGCGGTAGCCTGCTGCTCCGGCAGCAGCTGCAGCAGGAGGAGCAGGAGGAGCAGGAGCCGGGGGGCGTCAATCCCCTGCTGCTTCAGCAGCAGCAGCAGCGGCTGCGGCGAGAGCAGCGCGCAGCCGCCAAGGAAGATCGCGACAGCGGCGCGGAGTCTGGGAGTGCGGCGTCGTCACCGGCCGCAACCCGCGGAGCCGAGTCCAGGGCGGTAGGGTCCGGTACGTGCTGTGTGTCTGTGTGTGTGTGCACGTGGTGTGTGTGTGTGCACGTGTGTGTGTGTATGCACGTGTGTGTGTGTGTGCACGTGTGTGTGTGTGTGTGCACGTGTGTGTGTGTGTGCACGTGGTGTGTCTGTGCACGTGTCTGTGTGCACGTGGTGTGTCTGTGTGTGTGTGCACGTGTGTGTGTGTGTGCACGTGTGTGTGTGTGTGCACGTGGTGTGTCTGTGCACGTGTCTGTGTGCACGTGGTGTGTGTGCATGCACGTGATGTGTGTGTACGTGGTGTGTGTGTGTACACGTAGCCTGTGTACGTGGCGTGTCTGTGTCTGTGTGCACGTGGCGTGTGCGCGTCGTGTGTGTAAGTGTGGGCCCTCTACTTGGGAGAGACCCTCGGGGGGCTGCGGGTGGGGGGGGGGTCTCCACCCCCTCCCCACCACAGTGATGCCTCACGCTGGCCCACTCTGTGTAGAAGGCACATTTATAAGCTTATAACACTTTTACGACCGGGTTTCTTTTTAATGTAGCTTGTAGGCGCCGCGTGGGTCATTGATATAGTGAGTTGAATACTGTAATTTCAAAAGCTTAATACTGCTATTCATCACTTTACGAGGAAACATTTAACTATTCATAACGCGCGGATAGCAGCTCATAAAGTGGTTCGTGATGATGTCCCCTCCGCGGGTTTCGACAACAAATCAGAGGCCCCTCGCTATTGTATTTACGCATGTTTGCATGCGTGCACTGTGCGTGTACTGTGCGTGTACTGTGTATTTACGCATGTGTGCATGTGTGCACTGTGCGTGTACTGTGCGTGTACTGTGTATTTACGCATGTGTGCATGCGTGCACTGTGCGTGTACTGTGCGTGTACTGTGTGTGTACTGTGTGTGTACTGTGAGTACTGTGTGCAGGGGGGAGCGGTAGTGCAGCGGTTAGAGCACTGCACATCAAATCCGGCGACCCGAATTCGATTCCCGTTCACGGGCCAACGCCAGCGACGATTATTTATCTGAAACTGGTCTGGTGCAGTGTGCAAAACATCGACACTTAGGGAGACAAAGGCGGTCGTGCGTGGCGCTGGCCATTTGCCACTCACCCCATCGTGCACCGTTCCGTCCTTCATAGGTGCTCGCTAAAAGCACTTGCCCCTGTATTCTGTTGAGGCTATACGGGCAGGTCTTTGTCTTTGTTGTTGTTATTGTTGTTGTTATTGTTGTTGTTTGTACCGTTCCGGTCTCCACAGGTGCTACTCGCTAACAACACTTGCGCCCCAACAATCTGCAAAAGACTAATACGGGGGGGGGGGGTATCTTTGCCGGTCGGGAGATGTCGATAGACTATTCTTAGCGTTGTTGTTGTTGTTGTTTCTAAAAACGTCGTGGGGACATTCGCTATGCGCGCCGCGCGCAAAGGCGACACAGTTTGCCGGCAACGACGACGAAGCAATCGTCGACGAGGACGAACGGGGAGTCGAGAGAAGGCAACGCAGACTGAGAAATAGAGAGAGAGAGGACGCTTAGGCAGCGCGAGGCGCGTGCAGGAAAGAAGACGCGACTAAATCTCGAAACAATTAAAAAATATATATTTGACCAGGTGGGATCCCACTGGTTCGCCTTGTAGCTCGTTTTGCAGAAGCGGCTTGCGCTGTCGCAAATGATAGCTCACACGAAGTGGCTCATCACGTGGAAATGTGTAGCAGCAGACGAATACTCCGAAACGCACCTTAATTCTCAATGTGGATGAACAGAAAGGAAGCCCTCCCGGAGAAAATTCCACGCGATTACGAAGAGAGAGAGAGAGAGAGAGACGCAGACTCTAAATATACAGCAGGCGTCAAGGTCGAGATCGAACCCACGACCTCTTGAATACCAGGCGAGGGAGTTAACATCTCCCGGCGCCCTTAGAGTGAGAAGAACATCCCCAGTGAAGAACTCCTGCATTGGTTTCAACGAGTAGAGAGCGAAACGGAAGTCAACAGAAGGAGGGAGAGAGAAGACCTGGAATGGACGCATTCGACAAAGGCGCCGTGTGATGGATATTAAGGAAGGGCATTCCAGTGGGATAATTGGCAGAGATAACGAGAGGGAGTTCCGACGATTGGCATGTTGGGAGGAGCTGACGGGTCGTTTTGTGGGAATGAAGAGGAGGGCAGAGAGAGAGAGAGCAGTGAATGGTGGTGGTGGTGGTAGCTAAGGATGCGTCGTGATCGCAGAGCAGCAGGAAGACGGAGTCCTTTGTGCGTTCTAGATTTCGTAGGGCCCCGTGTATTTATGGAGAAGTCGCACACGTCCTCACGCGCGTGTTTGTGTGCGCGTGGATGTGGAGGTCGACTCAGCCTCAAATGAGTGCCTGGTGCGGTGTGTAAACATCAGCACAGAGGGGAGACAAAGGCGGCCGGGCTTGTGTGGTGCTAGTCACACACCTCCAAGTGTGCCCTGGCAGCCTTCATAGGTGCTACTCACAGCACTTGCCCCAACAGTATATTAAGGCTATACGGATAATCTTTGTCGTATGAGTACCTGGTGCGGTGTGTAAACATGAGCGCAGGGGGAGACAAAGGCGGCCAAGCGTCAGAGGTACTGCCCCGCCCCCCCCCCTCGTGGGCTATGCCGGCCTTCATAGGTGCTCCTCGCTCACAGCACTTGCCCCAGAAGTATGTAAAGGCTACGGGGGGGAGGGGGGTCCTTGTGATTGGAGCCACGTGTTATCGTGGCGTTGCGATGCCATTTTATTGGTTGGCGTGGGGACCGTGACGGCAGACGGTGCACAAAGACAAACAACAACAAACTCCACGGGAACATTCGATAATAGCACCCCCCCCCCCTCGTATGTTGATATACGCGATGGACGACGTTTCGGGGAGATGCCCCGTGTTCGTAGCAGAGAGATAGTTTACACGTCTAAGAATGTCGGGAACATTCTAACAGCGACTACTGGTGTCGGATTTACGCAGTGACGGATCGGTCAAAAACGCGGTGATTGGGCCGCGTTTTTAGCGAAGTGAATCCCGGCTGAACACCCGTCATTTTAAGGGACGCTGCGGAGGCGATATGTTCACTACCTCACCTGGAATACAGGGATGCCTGGGTTCGATATCGAACCTGACAGTAATCTGTCTCCTCGTGGTCGCGTGGATGTTTCTCCAGGTCCCCCCCCCCCCCCACAACATTTAGAATCAACACGCGTTTCGAGTATTTGACGACTGCTAGACATGTCCACGTGATAAGCCACTTCGTTGAGCCATCATTTGTGGCCAGGTCGCTTCCAAAAACAACAGAGATGTATAGCTCAGCGGGGGCATTACCTGGTGAAAATAAAAAAAGGGGTTAGTTTGGTTAACTGAACGGGGTAACGTCTCGTATCCGTTATCCCCACTCGCGCAGTGGCGATGCGTGACAAATCTTTGTTTTGCGGAGGAATGAGTGAGGGGGGGGGGGGGTCTTCGTGCCTTCAGTGTATACGTGGACACACGGACACACACACACACGTGGTTAGTATCAGTGTGCTATGAAGAAGGGGGCATTGCCAAAGCCTGCGGCATTTTGTCTCTGTTTTTGTGTTTAGGGCAGTCGTTACTGACAATTGTGTCGAGTGTGTTGTTGTTGTTACCATGTGTGTTTGTGCACCACTGACAACGCAGTACGCGTGTAGTGCAGCATGTATGCGTGTTACCGACACACACACATTACTTATGACTATTGTATACGCTTGTGAAGTATTCTTTATAAATACACATCTTATAAGAGATCGTTGAGGCGAGTCCTAGCATACACCTGTGAAGGCCGGCACGGCACACGATGGGATGGGTGGCCAACGCCTCGCCCGGCCGCCTTTGTCTCCCCAGTGCAGATAGTAACACACCGCACCAGGTACCCATTTAAGGGTGAGTCGACCTATGGGAGGCCCAGGATCGGTGCCACTGTCATTGGTCGTGAGCCGAAATCGAACCCCGGCTCGCTGGGTTGGAAGCGCAGTGTGCTGGCCTCGAAATACACAGACAAAGACCTCCCGTATAGCCTTCACAGACTGTCGGGGCAAGTGCTGATAGCGAGCATCCTACACACGCACATATCAAGCAGATTGACCAGAGTTAAGTTCGTATTACACAGCCATAACATTCAACTCGTGTCAACAACATTAAAGGCGATTAAACAGTTTACCAAATGCACGTCAACAGCTCTGAGTGTTGCGCGGTGTTCAACGAGTCCGCGTATTCGTGAAGGTGTTGCCCGCAGTCCCCTAGGTCGACTCAGCCTCAAACAGCTCCACATGGTGTCCTCGGTGCGTGAACATACATCATCGGCGTCGTGTTGGCGTTGACCGCCCGCTTCGTGTCGCGGTCGGCCTGCATCGGGGCGCGGCTTACTTCGCTGAGAGCGCCTGACCCCAACAGCGTGCTCAGGCTATACGAGTTTTTTTTTTATCGATTTAAAGCTTTCGTGACTGCAGGGATTAATCTTCTTGGTTCTTTCGGTAAAGTCACGTAGAATGGAAATAATAAAACAATAACATAATAAAAATAAAACATAATAAAAACATATAATAAAATAAAATAAATATTTTATTATGTTTAATTTTTATTATTTTATTATTTCCATTCTACGTGACTTTACCGAAAGAACCAAGAAGGTATACGGGGGTTCTTTGTAGTATTACATCGCACGTCTGTGCCTCTCTGCATGTACGCGCGGTAGTTGTAGTGGTTAGTGCGCTGCGCTACGGCCAACACCCAGTGGCGATTATCTGAACCGGTTCTGGGCCTTCCCTAGGTCGACTCAGCTTCAAATGAGTACGTGGTGCGATGTGTAAACATCGCCACTGTGGAGACAAAGGCGACCGGGCGTGGTGCTGGCCACCCACCCCCTCGTGCGCCGTGCCGGCCTTTATAGGTGCTCGCTAACAGCACTTGCCCCTACAGTCTGTTGAGGCTATACGGGGGAGCTTTGTCTTTGTTGGTGTATCCGGTAGTGTACTACGTTGAACTTCTTTCGCACCGTACGTAGCCAACCGTGTTACTCGGAGGTGCGGGGGGAAGGACAACTAACTTAAACACAACAAGACTACAACGGGGATATGTGTTGTTGTTGTTGTTCTCCCCAATGTATGTTGTCTCCACATCTCTCTCGTCTGTCCAGGCGCTCATCGGCCGCGCACGAAGCGCTGCCCCTACACCAAGTACCAGATCCGCGAGCTCGAGCGAGAGTTCTTCTTCAGCGTCTACATCAACAAGGAGAAGCGGCTGCAGCTCTCGCGCCTACTCAACCTCACCGACCGCCAGGTCAAGATCTGGTTCCAGAACCGTCGAATGAAGGAGAAGAAACTGAACAGGGATCGCATGCAGTACTTCGCGCCCAACCCGCTCCTATGACCCTCCCCCCCAAAAAAAAAATAACCCAAACAAAAAAAACTCCTTCAAAAAAGTTTTTTTGTAAACAACCGTTTCATTAACAACTTTGTGTAACTCACGGTCGAGAAGTACGTCGATGAAGCGTCGCCTGCTCCCACGTGAACGCTTACTTGAATTAATTGATTACTTCCGGAAATCGTTCGCACGGAGCAGGCGATTCGATAGTTTATGGACCGCGGCGTTGTTTACCTACACAAATATATATATACATAAAAAGGCCTCCATGCGAAAATGTTAATTGATTTAAAGTAGCGAATTATTTTGATTTGGAGCTTTCGTGACTGCAGGAATTACTCTGGTTCTTTCGGTAAAGTCGCGTAGAAAGAAAATAATAATTAAATAATTGCATACGACGTTTCTATTGCAACGCAAGCAATCATCATCAGGTACAAATGAAAGAGAAAACTAACCTAGTAAACTTAGAAATGTAATGTAATACAACACAGAGAGTCGGCTAACATAACAGTCAACGCCCTACCTGGTTGATTACGTTCTTCCAAAGATTGCTAAATTTGAGAGAGAGAGAAAATACAGACACGGAGACACACAGACAGACACAAGCAGAGAGAGAGAACACAGAGACACAGAGAGAGAGACTCACACAGATACACACAGACAGACACATAATCAGAGAGAGATAACACAGAGACACACAGAGAGAGGCTCACACAGAGAGAGACACATGTGACTTTACCGAAATAACCAAAAAGTAGCGAATTGATTAATTTATGCAGATTTTGATACAGGCAATCATTGTCACCGTACGTGTGCAAAATTTGGACAACAGGAATCAGTCTAACTTTTGATTACAAGATTTAACAACGACACAGGAATAAAGTTAAGTAAAACCGTTGAAAAAGATTGAAACAGGAGGCTCGCGCGCGTTTCAAATCGTGGGTCGTGCGTGGCAAACACTTCTTAGAATTCGTCCTCCGGCGGCACGCGACGAGGTGTCGGACGAGCTGACGACGATGGTTTAGTGACGGCGGCAGAAGCTGTTACGCGTGCACGCACGCACGCATCCAAACGCACACATGCACACGCAAACACGCACGCACATACGAACATCAGGGAGACAAAGGTCACCCCCCCGTATCGCCATGAAGAGACTGTTGGGGACAAGTGCCTGGTCACTACAGCGAGCACCTGTTGATGGGGAGGTGGTCGGGTGGTGGACGGCACCACCACCTCACGCCCGGTCGCCTTTGCCTTCCCCAGTGGGTGATGTTTACACACTGCACCGGGCACTCGTTGTCAATGGTTTTAGCCGACCTAATGGAGGCCCAGGACGCGTTCAGATAATCATCGCTGATGCTGGCCATGAACGGGAATTGAACTCGGGTTCGCCGCGTTCGTAACCCCGTGCGCTAACCACTACAGCTACTGCTCCCACACAAAGACAAAGATCACCCGTGTAGCCTGTAACAGACTGTTGGGGCAAGTGCTGTTAGCGAGCACCTATGAAGTCCGGCAAGGAACACGAAGGAGTGGGTGGCCAGCACCATGCCCGGTCGCCTTTGTCTCCCCAGTGGCGATGTTTACACATCGCACCAGGTACTTGTTTGAGGCTGGGTCGACCTAGGGAAGGCCTAGGGTCGGTTCAAATAATCGTCACTGGTGTCGAACCCAGGTCGCCAGGTTCGTAGCGCAGCGCGCTAACCGCTACACTACCGCTCCCCACACACGCACACATTCACGTGCACATGTGCGTGTATACATTGGAGTGAATTTAACTTCTACACTGCATGGATTTCTGCCAGAGTGGTGTGACGGTTAGCACACTGGACCTGTAATCCAGAGGATAGCTGATTGAGATTCGATCTCCCGGGGCGGCAGGCTCCTTCACACACCCTCCCTCCCCCTCTGTCCACCCAAAGCAGCTTAAATGGTTCGGCAGCGGTTAGTCGATAAGCTGCAGTTCGCGTGCGGTGAAGTGAAGTTGTGGGCACTCTTGGCGAGCGTGCGAGTGTAGGCCAGAGGGCAGCCCTCAGCGAGGATGGTTGCCGATGATCTCCGTGGGTGCTCGGGCTCTCTCTGGCAGCAGTTGCGGGGTTGCGCCTCTACGCGTGTTGTGTTTTGCACACATATACAGCGGCTCCCCTCTGGCTTTAATACTGTTATCACTGTTTGTTGAGCACGCTGAATGTACACACAGATAAAGGCACCCCCCCCACACCCCTGCATAGGCTTCTGACTGACTGCTGGGGCAAGTGCTGTTGACAAAACACTGTCAATGTCCGCAGGGCACACGAGAGGGGTGAGTCGCTAACAACACCCCGTCCCGGCCGCATTTGTCTCCCCGCCCCCCCGCCACTCAATCCCCTCCAGTGCTGATGTTTTAACCACCACAGCAGGTTCTACATCTCTGAGGCTGAGTCGACCTTGGGCCCGGGACGCGGTTCGCATGTTTGTCGTGAGCGGCAATCAACTCGCGTCTCCGATGTCGTGGCCCCAGCGCGCTCAGCCACGTTGTTGCGCATGGGCTTGATGTACATGGTGTTTCAAAAAGATTGACCCCATTTGAAATCGCTATATCTCTGAAATTGGGTTTGAAACACCCTGTACTGTACAGTATATGGTGTAATTGTTCGGTGATATCTTGTGTGCGTGTGTCGGTGGGGGTGGGGGGCGTAAGCGGTTGTGTAGCAGTTAGCTCACGCCCCCAACATCAGCACGAGGTCCAGGGCTTCCCCTAGGTCGACTCAGCTTCAAATGAGTATCTGGCGCTCGGGTGACAAGGGCTGCGATCGTGTGCTGTGCCGTTCTGGCCAATCGTAGGTTATACTCGCTAACAGCATTTGCCCCAACAGTCTGTGAAAGCTCGAGGGGCTGGGGGGGACTGTGGATCTTTGTCTTTGTGTGTGTGTGTTTTTTGGGGGCTATTGAAAGCACGGTGTGGCAGGGAGGTGTGTGTGCGTGTGTGCGTGGTGACGTTTAAAGAAACCACGCGGGGCCCAACTCTTTCGCAGCGAGTCTCGGGGTGCTAAAAGCAGGCGGGCTGACCGCTGAGTCGTGTTGCTAGCGGAATTTGCTGCAAAATAAAAATCCACGCATATATATACACATATTTCCAGAATCCAGGATTGATATTCTGTATACTGGGTGAATGAAATGTGATTGACGGGTTTTGTAGAACACGTGTTTTGCTATAATAATGGCCGGTGTCACGTGTTATGGTTTCGTGTTGTCGCGGGCATGCTGTTAAGCTCTACACAAACAAATGCATTTTTGTACGCGCACATAATAATCATACACACATATATATAACGATACGGTTATTAAGCACTCGTGATATAACGTTAAAACCCATCAAGCCATAATAATACTGTAATGTTTAAATTTTATTTCAATATCCAGCAGTTATCTTGTTACCACATGTGTAAGAATACGTCACAATTAATTGGGGAAGATATACATATATACTTACGTGACGTCCATATGTTTATTTTTTAGTTTAATAACAATGTATATATATTCCATTAACATTCTATAAACTAGTATTATTGCAATAGTGAGGTTCGTATGCAACAAACACACACACGAAGATAATTTTAATCGCAAAGGTTCGCTTTGTCACATGATTGTAATAATATATTAAACTCATTATTATCTCATCGTCAATCAGATCATTATTATAATACTTCTTTTATTAAGAGAGGGCTGCTTCCCACCACATGCTCCATCACCCACCATACCACCACCTGCCCCATCACCCACCATACCACCACCTGCCCCATCACCCACCATACCACCACCTGCCCCATCACCCACCATACCACCACCTGCCCCATCACCCACCATACCACCACCTGCCCCATCACCCACCATACCACCACCTGCCCCATCACCCACCATACCACCACCTGCCCCATCACCCACCATACCACCACCTGCCCCATCACCCACCATACCACCACCTGCCCCATCACCCACCATACCACCACCTGCCCCATCACCCACCATACCACCACCTGCCCCATCACCCACCATACCACCACCTGCCCCATCACCCACCATACCACCACCTGCCCCATCACCCACCATACCACCACCTGCCCCATCACCCACCATACCACCACCTGCCCCATCACCCACCATACCACCACCTGCCCCATCACCCACCATACCACCACCTGCCCCATCACCCACCATACCACCACCTGCCCCATCACCCACCATACCACCACCTGCCCCATCACCCACCATACCACCACCTGCCCCATCACCCACCATACCACCACCTGCCCCATCACCCACCATACCACCACCTGCCCCATCACCCACCATACCACCACCTGCCCCATCACCCACCATACCACCACCTGCCCCATCACCCACCATACCACCACCTGCCCCATCACCCACCATACCACCACCTGCCCCATCACCCACCATACCACCACCTGCCCCATCACCCACCATACCACCACCTGCCCCATCACCCACCATACCACCACCTGCCCCATCACCCACCATACCACCACCTGCCCCATCACCCACCATACCACCACCTGCCCCATCACCCACCATACCACCACCTGCCCCATCACCCACCATACCACCACCTGCCCCATCACCCACCATACCACCACCTGCCCCATCACCCACCATACCACCACCTGCCCATCACCCACCATACCACCACCTGCCCCATCACCCACCATACCACCACCTGCCCCATCACCCACCATACCCTGCCCCATCACCCACCATACCACCACCTGCCCCATCACCCACCATACCACCACCTGCCCCATCACCCACCATACCACCACCTGCCCCATCACCCACCATACCACCACCTGCCCCATCACCCACCATACCACCACCTGCCCCATCACCCACCATACCACCACCTGCCCCATCACCCACCATACCACCACCTGCTCCATCACCCACCATACCACCACCTGCCCCATCACCCACCATACCACCACCTGCCCCATCACCCACCATACCACCACCTGCCCCATCACCCACCATACCACCACCTGCCCCATCACCCACCATACCACCACCTGCCCCATCACCCACCATACCACCACCTGCCCCATCACCCACCATACCACCACCTGCTCCATCACCCACCATACCACCACCGAGCAATTGTTGAGTGCAACAACCCCAAAGTTACCGATTAACACAACAACGGCAGTAGCGGGGCGATGACGTCACGCCACTGAGGTCACGTGTCTGCGGATATTTACATTATCCACAATATCGGGTTTTTGGAGTTCGATCGCGTCGATATAAATGCGTCGTTAGACAACCCGATACAGCCAGTCTATAATTAATTGATAGATGTTGCGGATTGTACTCTCCAACACACCTGAATCGGCACATTTTGGTGTACGTGACGAACCGCTCACTAATTTGTGGTGTGTTGGGTGGGTGGCGGGTTTAACGACACATTAATATAATAATAATAATAGGTGTTCCCCGTTTTTTTCTGGCAACAAAACTGAAACCTTTTTACGAACAGTCATGTTTATATGTTTACATAGTGCGTTGTCTTTGAGTTGTGCGCCTTTTGGCGTCATCTGGTCTAACACCGTATGAGACTAGGCTCTAAGGAAAGCTGTCTCTGGTGTGGACCAATCAATTTCAAGGACAATGCACACATTAACAGTGTTTCTTGTTTGCATCCTGATGCAGGTATTGTGGTGAATGTAAACGTGATTAATTGTAAAAAAGGTTTCAGTTTTGTTGCCAGAAAAAATGGGGAAAAAAAACTATTATTACATTTTGGTACTGGCAAAGGAGGCCTCGTGATGACACATTCATATATTTACGCGATCTAACCCAACAGCCTCTATTATGGATAACATTGATCTCGTGTTAAACAGATATTTATATTGTTTCGTTTGATGCACACACAAACACACGCAGGTGAATAAATGTAATTGTAACGCTTCTGTGGTGGTGTGTGTGTGTGCGTGTCGCCATGTGTGTGCGCGTGTCGCCCTGTGTGTGTGCGCGTGTCGCCCTGTGTGGGTGTGTGGTGTCGCCACTGTGTGTGTGTGTGCGTGTCGCCCTGTGTGGTGGTGTCAGCACAGTGTGGTGTCGTGCGCGTGTCGCCCTGTGTGTGTGTGTCGCCATGTGTGTATGTGGTGTGTTCGCCATGTGTGTGTGTGTCGTGTCGCCATGTGTGTGTGCGTGTCGACCTGTGTGTGTGCGTGTCGCCATGTGTGTGCGTGTCGCCCTGTGTGTGTGCGCGTGTCGCCTGTGTGTGTGCGTGTCGCCATGTGTGTGTGTCGCCCTGTGTGCGTGTCGCCATGTGTGTGTGTGTGTCGCCATGTGTGTGTGTGTGCGTGTCGCCATGTGTGGTGTGCGTGTCGCCATGTGTGTGTGCGTGTCGCCCTGTGTGTGTGTGCGTGTCGCCATGTGTGTGTGCGTGTCGCCATGTGTGTGTGCGTGTCGCCATGTGTGTGTGCGTGTCGCCATGTGTGTGTGCGTGTCGCCCTGTGTGTGTGTGCGTGTCGCCCTGTGTGTGTGTGCGTGTCGCCATGTGTGTGTGTGTGCGTGTCGCCCTGTGTGTGTGTGTGTCGCCCTGTGTGTGTGTGCGCGTCGCCCTGTGTGTGTGTGTGTCGCCTGTGTGTGTGTGTGTCGCCCTGTGTGTGTGTGTGCGTGTCGCCCTGTGTGTGTGTGTCGCCGTGTGTGGGTGTGCGTGTCGCCCTGTGTGTGTGTGCGCGTCGCCCTGTGTGTGTGTGCGCGTGTCGCCATGTGTGTGTGCGTGTCGCCCTGTGTGTGTGTGCGTGTCGCCCTGTGTGTGTGTGTGCGCGTCGCCCTGTGTGTGTGTGCGTGTCGCCCTGTGTGTGTGTGTGTCGCCGTGTGTGGGTGTGCGCGTCGCCCTGTGTGTGTGTGTGTGTGCGTGTCGCCATGTGTGTGTGTGTGCGTGTCGCCATGTGTGTGTGCGCGCGTGTCGCCCTGTGTGTGTGTGCGTGTCGCCATGTGTGTGTGTGTGCGTGTAAGCGCGAGTGGGGAGCGGTGGCGCAGTGGTTATGCGCGCCGCGCTACGCATCCGGCGATTGCAAGTTCCGTCTCCCGCTCACGGCCACCAACACCGTCGATGATTAATGATCTGACCCCCCCCCACCTCGAGTTGACTCAACCTCAAATGAGCACGTGCGTGGTGGGGTGTGCAAAGCCATCGCCATGGGGAGACAAAGACGGCCGGGGCGCGGCGCTGGCCACCCACCCCCTCGTGTAGGCCTCGACTTGCCCCCAAAATGTGTGTGTTCAGGCTGTGAAGGTGTGTCTTTATCTTCGTGTGCTGTCCCTTCTTTGACTCGTGTCCCACGTGGCACGGAGTGCGCGCGAGAGGAGGTCACGGTGCCGAGACGAAAACGCAACGTTGTCTTCCACGTCGCGGTGGTGAAGTACGGGGGATTATGCGTGGTAGGTACGAGCCGGCCAGACACATCCATTCGTATTCATCGTTCCGATCATTTGCGCGATTTACGGGCGCAATAAATGTGATAAACAAGGTTTATTCTATACGAAAACACGCCGCGGCTCTTGAATTAGTACCTCTCGTAAGGGACTTTACCAAATATTTGTAATATATACATTTGCCAGAAGAATGCAACTATTGACAAGCCAGCATGCCACGTGTCCCAGACACATGCTGCGGCCAAGACAAGCGATAACGGTCCCGCGTATGGCTTAGAAGGGTTGCTGGGGGACTGCTGGCAGCGAGCACATTTTACGGCACTAGGGGAACGATGGATACGGTCAGAACCCGCCCGCCTTTGTCTCCCCAATGCTGGTGAGACCTGTTCAGATATTCGCCGCCGATGTTGGCTGCGTTTGAGTGTGGGGATCGAACTCAGGTCGTTCGCTGGCGGTGGT